TTATACTTTACAAAATATTAAAAATGTAACAGGCTATATATATTACAAGAGCTATATATACTACAACTATCACCAATAAAATATATAATATAACTAATACATATATGATATATACAGTATAATAAATAGTATATGTGCTATATATATAATAAATAATAAAAGTATTTCAAAAACTATAGTTAATAAATATATTATATGTAATGAATCTCCTGTAGTAGTCACTCAGCTAATTAGATTATACAGATTATGATAAAAAGCCAAATCTTAATTATCTCAATATTCAGTAATTAGATTTTAATGATACTTGGCTCATTAGAACTATCTCAGAGAGCTGATTTTAAAGGTATATATTTTATTTAATTCAGATCAGTAAATCAAAAGTTATTAAGGAATTTGTATTTTTTCTTATATTTTATATATCAATTGTGCAATTAGAAGTTGTATATAAATAGAGATAGTAACTTTGGGAGGAATTTGCTAACTAAACAGACCTTAATCCAACAGCTAATAATACACTATCTACTACACTAACAGCAGAATCCTTAGAATCTACTTGGCATAAAATCCAAACTAGCATCATCCAAGTAGCCCTCTCTATAATTCTAAACAAAAAGTTTACTACTAAAAACTTCTATCATACTTTCTCCTCCAAAGTAACAGAACTATATCTTGATCTTAAACTATTAGAAGATGCTATTAAAAAAGCAAAAAAATACTTAAACAATTCAGATACTCTATATCCTAATCTCTTCACAACAATCAACTCTATCAACTCCCAATACTCCTTCAATATTCCTCTATTACCATCAGACTCCAACTTAATTTCAAATTGAATCTCTCTTTTTAAAAACTCTTGAAAATCTCTTATAGTACTCGCAACTTAGAAAATACTTATCAAGTAAGAGAACATATTAACCAGGCTATAAACAAAAGATGTGATCTCTTGCAAACTAAATCCACAAAAATGATTAATAGTATTTTAGATAGATATAGTGAACCTGTATACTTTAACAACATCAAAACACAGAATGAAATTACAACTGAACCATCTCAAATCAAAACAGCTATTAAAGAGCATTTTTGCAAATGGACAGCATATCGAAATCTTAACCAAACAATCTTTAACTCTTACTGGAAAGATGAATACAAACCTCTATTAACTATTAAACCAGAATGGTATAACCCTATACTAGCAGAGATTACTATTGAAGAGGTTACTGAAACTTTAAGCAACCTATCTAACAACAAAGCCTGTGGCCCTTCTGGAATTAGTTATAAAATGATCAAACATTTAGGCTCTAAAACAATTTAAACTATTACAGCATTACTTAATCACTGTTTAATAACACAAACAATTTCAAAACAATAGAAAGATAGTTATATCTTTTCTATTCCAAAAAAACCTATATTTGATAGTAACTTAAACAATATACATCTAATTAGCCTTATTGAATATATCAAAAAACTCTATACTAAAATCTTAACTACTGGACTTAACTCAATTCTCTTCTCACACAAAATTCTCAATTCACACAACTATATAGCTTTACCTAGCAATAGTACAAATACTCTTATATATATCCTAAATAATATCATTGAAGACTTTTACTATAACAAAAAAAAGTTATGGCTCTTGTCTCAAGATATAAGCAAAGCTTATGACTCAGTTAACTTAGACCTTCTTAAACTAGCTCTTAAACATATTCAATTTCTACTCCAACTATATAATATTATAACTAATCTATTAACTACATTAGCAGAATTTATATGCGAAATATTGCGAAAGATTTTGTATACCAAAAATCTTTTGAAATAACTGCAATTGATATGAAATTATTTTGAAAATAAAATAATTTCACAATATTGTAAAAAAATCGAAATAATTTCAAAATAATTTCAGTTATTTTTCTATAATTCAAAATAAAAATAATTCGAAACAATTCAAAAATATTTAAAATAAATTGAGAAAAAGTAAATTATCAAACTAATAAAAAAGTGAAAATTATCAAAATATTTTGAAATAAATCGAAAAATTGAAATAATTAAATTTATATATTTATTTTATATTATTGAAATATATTTAAATTATTGCTATTTAAATATTTAATATATATTTAATGTGCTTTATTATTTTAACGCAATTTTGATTATTTTTAATTCATTTTAACTTTATTTGAAGGATTTAATATATTAAATAAAAATAATAAAAAAAATAAGAAATATTTGATAAAATTCATAAAAAAAAAAAAAGGAAAAATCTTCGAATATAATTAATAATATTCAAATAATCTGAAATTTCTTAATAAAAAAGTTATTAGTAAATAAAGCAAAAACAAAAAAATTTCAATTTAAAGTTAAATTCCTGTTTTCTAATTTTCTCAAAATTTACTAAAAAAAAAAAAAAAAGAAATATTATTTGTAAAATAAAAAAAGCAAAAAACTAAAAAGTTTTACAATTCATCTTCAGTATTTTGATGTTCATCAGAAAAATCTAAATTGAATAGTAACAAAAATAAGTGAAAATTCTTAAGAATATGCGATATTGTGAAAATATTCAAATATCATCAAAAATACTGAATATTGTTAAATTATTCAAGAATTATAACAATATATTGCAAATTATATTTATTATTATACGTAGTAATTTAATGATCATACCTTCTCTTAGCCTTTTTCTTGACTAATAAAATTATTAATTTTAATTAATATTAAAAATAATTTATGTATTCTTAAATAATACAAACTATTTCAGGTTCTTGCGATATATTTTTACATTTACTGTAGTCTGCTTAAGAACTCTAGATATATTTGAAAAAATAATATAAAAATTTTTAATAAATTAATACTTTTTCGATATATTTGAAATATATATATATAAAACACTATTTTTCAAATTATTTGTGATTATTTGTAATATACTGATAATTATAATCTATGCAAAGTATTCTAAAATATTTTAAGATTTTCACAATATAGCGCAAATATGTATCTATCAGAACATATTTGCTATTTACATAAATTTAAAAAATTCTTTTTTCATAGCAAAATTTGTGAATATTCTTAATAATTTTTAAAATACAGTGCATAATTTTGATATATTTGTAATATATTAAATTAATTATTAATATTTCAAAAAAATAATACTTTTTCAGAATCTTCTGAAATTTCACTTTCTTCTGAGCTTGATGTTTCTTTATTAGAATCAGATGGAGAAAATTCTTCACTATTTTCTAACTTCCTCTAATTTTTGTGAAATATTTTAGTAATATTTAAAAATTAAAAAAAATTTTATAATATTAAAATAATAATAAATACATATCAAATTTCTTGAAAGTTTATATTTTATAATGCTCTCTGATATCATCAAACTATCTTGCTTTAAATCAAGCATTATTTAGCAGACTGCTATAGTATATGCAACTTTTTCTTGAGTTGTATCATCTGAAGGCCAAATCTTTTTTAATATTTGTGACATATAAGTATCTTCTGAGTTATCAGAAATATTCTTAAAAAGTTACTTATAACAAGATTTGGTTTTATAAGATCATTTCCATTCAAGTATGATCTCAGATTTTGCTTTATTATTAATAGGAACTAAAAGATCTCCAAATACAGCAAATATAGCATTCTTGATCTTGTTAGTTAAAGTACTCTGCAATAATCTAAATTTCTCTAAAAGCTATAAAAATTTAGTAAAATAGAATTTAAATATATTTGAAATTATTTAAAATATTTCAAATTTATTCGAATTATATTGAAATATTTTAAATAATTTCAAATATATTCAATGATCTAAATAATTTTAATTAAATATACTATTTAAAATAATTCAAAATATTTAAATATATTTGATATATTTTGAATTAATTTGAAATATTTCAAATATTTTCAAATATTTTGAATTATTTTAAATATTATATTTAATTAAACTTTTTGAGTACCATCAAGAGAAAGATGATCAACTTTAAATATTAATAAAATTTTTTTGATTTAAGATTTCTTAACAAATAATTAACAAATAGTTATTAAGATATCTTTAACCAAAAATTATAATTAAGCTTAAAGTTATTCATTTTTCTAGGCAATACTCATTTAATAAAAATATTGAAAAATTTTTACTGGTCTATGAAAATTCTTCTCATAATAAGTATTCCACTGTTTTTTTGACTTTCCAGAAATAAATTCGGAATGATTCGCCCTTATGTAAACCTCCACAGCTGACTTAAATTCTTCTTCTTTAGGGTATATAGCTCTTTCTATCAAATCTTTAGTAGCCCCCTTTACAATTTGCTATTATAAAAAATTTATTAGAATAATTTATAAAATAAAATTAAAATAAATATTATATAGTTACTTCATGAAAGGTTTTTTCATTTGTTGCATCAAATTTATTATTCAACTTCTCCTCTATTTCTCTAATATGGCTATTAACTTGATGAACTTGAGAGGAAAGTTGTTTAATTTGATACAAAATTTCTCCTTGATTTTCAAGAATTTTCGCTATGGTTCTTTCAAGTACTAATTATTAAAAAAATTACAATTAATAAAATATTAAAAAGCTTCAAAAATATTTAAAAATATATGAAACTTTCGAATTAATTAAATTATTGAACTGAAAATAATTATTTAAAAGTTTCGCATAATTTCACAATTATTCAAAAATATTGATTGATTATAAAGATTATAAATTATCAAATTATCTAATATTTGCTTAAATTAAAATCATATAATAAAAATTTAAAAAATATTCACAATATTGCGAAATAATTAAATATTTATAGCATAATCAGCAAATATTAAATCTTATAATTTAACAAAAATCCTAAATTTGATAATAACTAAAATTGTAAATATAGCTTGTTATATACTCATTATATTATCATAAAACCTTAGAAGATTATTACTATAGTAACTTTATGATAACAAATTAATAAAATCTAATCAGTTAAGAAAGTAGTCTTAATAACAAAAAAGAATAAAAATAAAAAATAAATTTATTTTTGAACTATAATATTATAATATATATAATCCTAAAAGTATAGTTTAAAATAACAATTATTAGATTTAATATTATTAATAAACTTTTTATTTTTATTTTTTTTTTTACTTAGGCGATCTTGTCCTTCATTTTATTAGGAGAAATATTAAAAAATATTTAGACAGGTACATAATAAAAGAAAAAAAAAACTATTCTACTTTTAAAACTGTCTTTCTTATTGCAATTCTGAACTCACTCAGCTATCTAAGAGATGCCTAAGTACGATTTGTCACAGCAGCATTTTCCTACTGAGACTAAATATATGTTTAAATATACCCATTTAGACTCTATCAAAAGAAGGCTACTACTAGCTTATATTAAGAAAGCCTATTTAACTTTAAATTTTAACTATTTCTTGTGATCTGCATTTTCAATCTACCTTGAGATTTGGTTGTTTGAATCTTTTAGAATTTTTTCTCTTTTCTCAGCTACTGATTCTTTCTTTTAAAAGTTCTCTGGAGAATTGTTCTCTTTGTTTGCTAAGCTAAACCTAGACTGTTTCTCCTTTTTTCCTTTTTTCTTTCGCATATTGATCTTATTTTCTTTTTTCCAACTTGCCATAACTTTGCAACAAAACTTCCATAATCTTTCATAAAAATTGAACCAAAATATATCAATAAACCAACTTAATGTTCAGTTGGCTTTAGATCTAGAACTTAGCAATAATCTAATATCATTAGTTTGTTTTTTGTTTATGAGGCCTCAAAGGTGTAACTTTTTTCATTTAAGCTTCTCTTCTAAGTTTGTACCTAAGAGTATACTCATAAGACTAGAACTTAATACTGATAGATTCTATTCTTCGAGTATTTTCAGACCTAGTTCCTCTATTATTATTTCTTCTGTGTATTTTCAGATCCCTTAATATAACTCGCAAATAGCTAGGTAGCTAAAAGTTTCTTTTGTTTTCAAGCATACTACATATGCTTTACCTTTATATAACTTAGGTCTTCTTTAGTAGCATATGTCATGTGTTAGTAGTAACTTATTCATGCATTTTATTCTGAACATCAAAGCCTTGCTTTTCTTGAGACTTGTGTACTTTCTGTCTTGATATTTCTTTAATGTATCCCAAACATATTCGGGTTTTTAGATTATAGTTAGGGTTTCATTCTATATCTTGAGCTACTTTATATACATAAAAATATTCTAGATTACAAAACTAAGAAACTTCTTGAATTGTATTCAACTTATGTATTCTGGTCCTAATATATTCTTCTTTACAAAGAGCACACTTAGTAAGGAAGCCTTGTCTATCACCATTAGTAAAATATTCTATACTTCATGAATCTTCTTTAGAGAATTGTTAGTGAAAATTAGTCTAACAAATCTTACATACTAGAGTGTCATTAAGGAGATGAATATCTGCTGGTATCTGAGGAGTTTTATATCTACAGCAATAGTTTATTCTTTTATAGCTATAGTAAACTATTCATCTGTTTTCTACTTCATCTTAGCTATATCCACATTTATACTGTTAGTTATCTTTTTTGAGAGAAGCAAGAGGACAATAAATACTGATATATCTTAACTCATTGCATTGATAGCAATGATTATGAGAGCAATCAGCATATTGATGCTTAGTACTATCATATACTTTACAGTAGTTTAGTTTAGATGGGTTGCATGGGCAATGTGTAGAGATATAGTCTAATCTTTTGCAACTATTGTATTGATTATCAGAGCAGTTTGCAAAGACATATTTATTAGAGTAACAATTCTCATATCTTTGATATTTGTTGTTTAAAAGAGGTCTGTTTCTGAGTCTAGAGTTTATTAGAGGTTGGTTATTAGTTTCTGAACCTATGGCTGTTAAAGTATAAGCTTCTTTTTGGAATAAGAATTTCTGTTCAAATTGGTCTAACTCATACTATTCCTTTACTATTAGTTAAGTAGGTAAAGGTTAGTATTGTTCATAGGTAGTAGATATATAAATTTTCTTATTGTTCCATTTTAAAGTATAGATACTATTTTTCCAATTATAGGTGGCTTTGACTTTTTGAGACTAGTTATTACCTAAGAGGAGAGAATAAGAGATAGTATCCATAACTTCTATATCTAAAAGAATAGTCATTCTTTCAATTTCTATAGGAAGGTTCTTGATTATTCTTAAAGATCTAATAGAGAGTTCTGTAACTGATAAAATTAAGCTAGAAGAACAAGTATTTATCATAAGTTCTAATTCTTTAACAATCTGGTATAAGATTATAATGATGGAGGCTCTTCTATCAATAATAGCTTGATAGGGTTTACTCTTAATTTTAATATTATATTTTACAGGTATGGTATGAGTTGAAGTCTGAATAGTAGTGTTAGGAGAGAGAGTAGTAAAGTAGGTTTCCATAGCAGTTTGTAGCAACTTATTAAAGAAATATGATTCAAATTGTTCGAAATCATAATCTTCAACAAGTTCTGCTACATAAGCTTCTCTAGGGTAAGGAGTAGAGGATCAGCTTCTAGATCTGCTTCTACTGTTGTTTTCTTTGTTTCTATTTCTATATCTATCTCTTGAACAGCTTCTTTCTTAACTTCTGTTTCTATTATTATACCTAGAATTGTTGTAGCGTCTGTTGTCATCATATGATCTATTTCTTTCTCGAGATCGAGAGTGATTATAATATCAGTTGTTATTCCTTCTATTATCTAATCTATAGTTGTTGTTAGAGTGTAAACTATTGTAGTGACTAGAGTCAGAGTAGAAATCATGTCAAAAATCTTCTTTTTATTTGCGGCTATCTTTAATATAGTATCCTTTACTTCTACAATAATAGCAAATAGCATCCTGCTGATTATTGTTGTCAAATCTGTTTCTGTTAGAGTTATTTGTGTAATAGATTGGTTTAGAAGTAGGGATAGTCTGTTTCTCAGTGAGGTTAATGCTTAGCTCAGCTATTTGTTTAGTGAGCTGTTCAATAGCTTTATCAGTATTAGAACTAGTATTAGAGGCTATAAGTTTTCTAGTTTCTTATCTTCATGTTGCAGTTATAGCTGCTATTAAGTTTGCTAGTTCTGAGGTTTGAACATTTACTAAATATTCTGGTTAAAGTCTTTGAACAAAGAGTTGAGTTAAGAAAGTAGCAGGGAAATTGTTTTCTGGGTCAACTCATTCTTTTAATTGTTTAAATTTGTTAACATAGGTATCGACTATATCTGATTCTTGTTGTATAGTAAATAGTTGTTTTTGCTAAATAGCTTTTTGTTAAGT